ATTACTTTATAGTACTAAAGCTATTTTATTTAAATTTATTTATAAAGCTAAACTTACTTTTACTAGTAATATTATAAAGTTTAAAGCTTATATAGTTACTTAAGGTTTCTAATAGTAGTCTAGTATTAATTATAATAAGAAGTTCTCTCTAATAGCTAAGTCTATATTTATTTAGATATTACTTACTTTATATATACTTTTTAAGTAGAAGATATTATAAGTAAATATTTATATAGTATTTCTTAATACTAAACTTAAGAAGTAAGTATACTATATACTACTTCTTTTTATAGTACTTTCTAAGAGATATACTTAGTTACTAAAGAAGTCTTTTTATAAACTTATTTAGTCTCTTTAAATATAGTATTAAATACTTACTAAGAAGCTAATAGATATTAGCTTTTAAATCTTACTTTATAATTCTTACATTTATATATATATTATAAATATAATTATTATTTTTATATATATTAATAATATCTATATTTATACTTTATATAATAATATTATTAATTTATTTAAGGCCTAACTTACTATAGTATTTATTATTACTTTTAAGAATCTAAACGTACTATACTTAGAAATATATATTAAGTATACTTATAGTACTATAAAGATTTACTAAGTAAAGTATATCTATTATATACTAGATTAGTATAACTTTAGTAATCTCTTTATTACTAATACTTTTTATAACTATTAGTTAAAGCTTATATAAACTTTTAATAATAATAGAGATACTACTTTATTATTTAAGAAGTATTACTTCTAAATATTTAGTTTACTTAACTATATACTTACTATAACTTATATTAACTTTACTTATACTACTTTTCTCTATAAATATTATAATATAAACTCTTTCTAGAAGTATCTTAATAGTATTACTTACGCCTACTTCTATATTAAAAAAATATAAAATATTAGTATAATATATTCTAGATAGAAACTATATCTTATTAAATATATAGATATAAACTAAATAGAATATAAGAACTTACGTTACTTTACTACTAGCTATATATTTATACTAGCTAATAGCTTTATTTTCTAAACTTTTACTAAATAAAAAGTTATTATATAATCTACTTATAAAGCTAAATATATTACTTTAAGTAAAGCTATTAAGAAAGCTATTTAGCTTAAAAGCTTTATTAATAACTTAGACTTTAGTATTTATTTCTCTACTATTCTAATCTATATTAATAATTAGTTTATAATTAAACTTTTTAAGAATTCTAAGTTTTACTACTATAGTAAGTATATTAATATATACTACTACTTTTTCTAAAACTATATCTAAAATAGTACTATATTAATTAAGTAGATTAGTAGTAAGAATAATCTTACTAATATACTTATAAAGCTACTTAATTTAATAAAGTTTAAAGCTATTTACTAGACTTTTAGCCTTATTTTATAGTATTTTACTTAGCTTACTTTTAGTATATTTATATATTTACTATAAGTCTATATATTTAATAAAAGTAGAAATATTACTTTATAAACTATCTTTCTTTAAAACTTTTATAAAAATACTAACTATATAAATACTCTTACTTATATATAACTACTTCTACTTTATATATCTAATATTAATAAAAATATTATATTATAGTATTTCTTTCTCTAAAACTTATATAAAGATACTAACTATATAAAGACTCTTACTTTTAAGTAGCTTACTATTAACTTTAGTATAACTCTAAAGTATAAAAAGATATAGAATAAATATATAAACTTTTATTTATACTAAATATACTAGAAGAAGCTTAAGAATTATAAAAAGAAGAAGCTTAAGAATTATAAAAAGAAGAAGCTTATTACTTTATTTAGTAGTATCTAGACTAACTTATATTTTAAGTAAACTATATTATATAAAAGTAAAGATAGCTATATATAGTAGCTCTACTATAGTAAGTAGCTAAGTAATACTTATAACTTTAATATAAACTACTCTTACTATAGTATAATACTTTAAAGTAGTTCTATTCTTAGTAGTTAGTTTTTTTTTTTATTTTTTTTTTTATTTTTTATATATTTACTTTATAATAAGTTCTAAAGAAGCTATTAGTTAGAATTTTATTATATAATTTACTTACGCTAGTACTAGTGTTACTTTAGTATTATTTATATATAGGGCTTTCTCCCTCTTCTATAGAACAATTACATCTCTTCTTGTTCTACACCTTGCACGGGCTTGCTGTTCAAGAATATCGATATCAGGCCGAAAAATGGTGGTACGGCGAAGATACTTTGTTCCAATATGAACAGCGACAGTGGGTTAGCATGCACTGGTACCTGCCCGGCAGGATGGAAACAGCAGCTAAGCGGCAATGCTTAAACTTTGGATGTTAGTTCTATGTGCAGGCCGCATGCGCCTAGGCACTAACACCTCCGTACAAGACGTCCAGCTCCTTCTCATACAAATCTAGCAAAGCTTTTTTCTGCACTGTTCCCTTCGCCGTCTTTGGGAACGGCTCTTTTACAGCCAGTATCATGTCCTTTCCCACGCGCGCATAAAGCGGCGAGCTCTTGTTCACTTCCTCTACCGTATTCCAGATCTCATGCAAATCCTTCCCATCTTCCAACCTAACAATCAACGAGGCTTTAGGTCTTCTCGTTCCTACCATCGCTACCTCCGCAACTGAAGGATGACTTGCAATTCTCTGTTCTGCGGCTGTAGGGAAGAACTTCTCATTCGTCAGGAAAACGAGAAGATCATCAGCCCGGCCGTAGTGTCTCCATCGCTCCGAATCTTCGGGATGCCTTGTGAACAAATCGCCAAGTCGTCTTTCTTTTGCGTCTGAAAAGATAGAGAAGATGGGTTGTACATAGCCGCCGTGCTCCTTTCCGTCGTTGCGGTGCATGACAGCTTCATAAAGAGTGACGCCGTCCGTGGAAGCAGAAACAGGGTCGAAGTGGATGTTGAGAGCGGGGTGAAGTGTCGTATACTCCCAGTACGCAGATTGCACTGTATTTGCATCTTTGCGACGGATACTGGGCCAGACGCCGAGTTCGGTTGATGCCATGACATTCAACACGGACACTTGCGATGCGACAAACTCACTTGCATGAGTACTCACGCTACCGCCGCCCCAGCCAATTTGTTGCGTTCTCCGGCTGAGTCTCTGTAGGACTTCTGGGCTCTTGCTTAGATACTCGACACAGGGTGGCACGAGTGTCAGGCAATCGACACCGATGCCTCCATCCCTTGCGGCGATGATGTCCAAAGCGGCTAGTGCGCTGTCCACACCCGCAGCTGGTGTCATCCATGTCGGCGGGTAAATTGGTGTTACACCAAGCTGCAGTGGAAAGAGGATCATACCGATCATACCGCTGGCGTGGAAAGGCGGGAAGAGAAACATTGCGCGCATGCCTCGCCCGTTCGCTGATCCGTAGAGAAGCTCTTGCTCTAGTTCGTAACCTGGTGGTGCGGTGAGATACATGGTTTGGGCTACACTGTTAGTCCACTCGTGTGTCCAAAGGATGGGTTTGGGAAAGCCCGTTGTGCCGGATGTATCTGCGTTTGGTAAGAGGTAGCATGGTCAGGCGGGAGCGAGCGTACGTACGGAGACAAACAAAAGGTTCGCGGGAATTTTGTTGATAGGTCTTGTTGTACGGATACGGCTCCGCTTTTGAGGTGAGCAGTTGCTCTACACTGGGTATCTGGAGTGTCTTCATATCCTTCATTGACAGAACGTCTTTGACAACTGGTATCGGCATCTCCGACTTTAGCATAGCCTTTGCGTCCACACTCTCAATCAATTTGACCAGTGCTTCAGCTCCGTATCTTGGCGATGGAAAGAGCATCTACCTTCGTCCTTAACCATTTGAACCACCATCAAGGCGCTCGTGTCGGAGGACGACTTACCTTGTACCCCGCAATCACACTTCCCAGACATAATACCGCATATCGTATGTCGTTCGGTCCCATGTACACCAAAGTTCGTGTTCCATCCTTTTCCTCTTCGTGAAGCTTCCCGATGCTCTCTTCGAGCCACCACGCGAAAGCAGAAACAGCATTTGCTACTTCAGCAAACGTGATCTTACGATATCCATCCTCGATCTTGTGCGGGTTCACCGGAAACTCTGCGTACGTCGCGGAAGGATATTGAGCCGCGAGTTTGAACAGTGTGTTTGGAAGAAGTTCATTAGTGGCCTGTGGCCAGGGAGCGGGGCGTGTTGTATCCATCATGTGTCGTGATAGGTACTAGCAAGGCGAGAGAATAGGTGCTTGTAGGTGCTTGTGATCGAGCTGTTCAGTTGTTAGATTAAAAGCTGCGGAGTATCCCAACTCCCCTCCTTAGCCCGCCTTTTATCTTACATCGGTGTATCCCATCATCGTGCGCCCGAGACTAGTCGAGATACGAGATCCTGACCGGTTGCCACATGTACTTTATACCGCATTGAAGCTTTCCTAGCGTGTTTGATGCAACTACGACTTTACAGTTTGGGTTAGAAGCCAAATTAGTGTAGTCAAGGCAGCCAGCGATCACAGGCTGCAAGCTGCCGAGGTTGCTACAAAGTAGTGTGGAGCTTAGCAGGCCAACGTTGGGCCCACGTAAGCGAGGCCCGTCTTCGAGATCGACCATCCGAGCTAGACGCTTGAGCGCTGCAAGTCCAACTGAACATCAGTGTTGGAAAAGGAGCGCCCTGAAATTCTGGGCGTCAGCGCTTTCGCGGAATTGGTGTGCCGAGGGTCTTGATACAACGCGTACCATTCCTTTTCCACAGCAAGTGTCCCATCAGGAATGTGGCATCAGGAATGTGGGTCCCAAGAATGTGGTTCCAAAAATGTAGTTTCGGGAATGTGTCGTCAAGATGCCAGAAGAGAAATGGAGGAATACATGTAGCTGTGGGTATCGAACTACGACTGCTTCAACAACGCTTAATACTCGCTGATGGTGAGTGTACAGGCACAAAAGACGACATCTCCAACAAACGCCAGCCGATGCAAATATGATAATCGTCCGCGCACATTGATTGTGGGGTCGACCTCAAGCTGAAGATAAGTGCGCCCAGCGCGCATCCGAATCTACCTCACCCTCCTCACTACAATACTGTCAGCGCACATCCTCCACGCTCTTAGACTCTCGTTATTTCTACCCTCCACGTACCTGCCATAATATAAAGCGGACCAATGAAGTCTCGCAAACCTACCAATCATAGACCCACCCAGAATTTGCAGTCATGAACTCTTCACATGCCTCCTTGAGGGCAATGTTTGGTCTCAGCTCGTTGATGGTAAGAGTCTCTCTCGTCAGCGGGTCCGTTGGACTGCGTTTGAGGTGCTCAATCAGCGTAGCGCGCTCGTACGATCTTCCATTCTTAGTTACGACCGGGTCGTGCATAATCTCAAACGTTATGCCATCGACGAGGTAATCCGGGACCTCGCGTTTCTGCTGATGCTCCGGGTCGGAAATCGCGAATGCGGTTCTGAGGTCGTCGCGCTTCTTCTCAAACTCTGTCTTTCGCTCTGCTTTCTCTTCTTGCCCGTCTGAGCGACTGGTTTCTCCGGTCTCCATACGTGCTTCTATCTCATCAATGTCCTTCTTGAACTCTGTTTCCAGCATCATTTCAAGGTCGGAGAGCAGATCGCCACGCCGCCGTATCCTTTCTCGCTCGCGGATGTCCCATTTGGCTTTCTTGCATTTCAAAACGAGAGCGGATATTGTGGCTGCGTTGGAGGTTTGTTGCGCGGAGGTGGTGCATAGTTCGTAGGCCATGAGGGCTGAAGATAGGGCTTCGTTGGGATGATTAATCGCGAGTTGAGCTTGCGCTATACTATCATCAGCCTGGGATTTGACATGCAGAGCTCGCGCAATGGTGGTAAGGCGACTGTCACGATTGACGCCCCTCTGTAGGGAATGAGAGCATACCCAAGTAAAAGAATGCCTTCATGTTGTCCTTCAAGAGCTCAATACTCCGTATACAGTCATCTATGACTCCTTCCCATTTCTCCAACTTTAGCCTCGCATTTGCGCGGTTCGTGAACAACAGAGGGTTGGCGGAGTTCTTCTGAATCGCCTGCGAGTACAACCCCTCGGCTCCTTCGTAGTCGCCATTCTTAAAGCACTTGTTGCCCGAGTTCTTCAGCTGCTCGGCGGCATATTCGTTGCCTGGCGGAGGCATAACGGGGTAAGTGAGCGAGCGACGGAGGGGGTAAGGCTGAAGGTTAATCGACGGGAGTGAGGGCGGAGTTAAGCTTCAATGATTGGTAGGGCCGCGGGGGTGGGGCGCTTTTTGTTGCGCCTCGCGATGGAACCTTCGAGACGATGGATACGATGCTGAGGTGAGCAGTCCGGAGTCTTCGGATGCGATCTATGCTGTACCTGCAGAAAAGATCTCGGCAGTCATCGTAGGGGCAGCAAGCATCGAACACGGTAGCATGATGCAGGCGCGTTGTAGGCGCCACGTTTGAGTCGCATGCACAGCCACGCTACGATCATGCAAGCGAGACCCTGGGACAGTTGTCGCGTGCTATGGTCAGTGACAAGACAGCCGGAGCCAGGCAAACGCAACTACAGAATTGTAATGCTATTCGTACATAATCAACATGCATCAGAGTATCATAGTGAACCTCTTCTGTATGAATATGTCCTGAGTACACAGGCCAGAACACATCAGAACGCTAGTCCACCTAGTGGGGCACCGCTTCGGTTTCTCCTGTCGAGTCCACGAAACCCACTGCTTGAGTCTTCCCTCCAGCCTCGCCCTTGGAATCTCTCCTGTCCTCTTTGTATAGATTGGGGTAGCTTCTCTGCCGCCGAACCTCACCCCCCTCGTCCGAGTCGTCGATCCTGTGCCGACTGGGCGGCGCACTTCTCTTCCTGAATCTCTTTACATCATCTTCGCTCTCGACACATGTATCATCGGCTTCCAAGATGGGGCTCCTAGTCCTTCCCCTGCTGCCACTCCTGTTGCGTGCTCGTCCTCTGAATGTATGATCAGGCTCGGCATCACTACGCCGCCTGGTCTTCTTCTGGTCGGATGTGGGCGGAGAGACGGAAGACGTCGGAGACGAAGGGCGATGATGTTTGCGGTGATGCTCTCGATATCGGGAACCGCTGTTGCGATCGTGGCCGCGAGATGGTGAGGATGCACGGCGTGGAGAATGCTGTGACGACTGCCTACGTCGCTTGAGCCGGCCACGCTCTTCTGCGTCTGCTTCTGGTTCGATGATGGTTGGAATCTCTGTCGCGGTTGTCTGTACGATGGCCGAAGTAGCCGGTGGGTCCGGCATTGTGTTTGCAGACATTGAAGATGTTGCCTGGGTGAGGTTTGGCCAAGTTCAGCTCAGCTGTAAAGTATGAAAGAAATGCCAGATGCTAGCAGGTCTAGGCATATCAGACCCGCAAAGTAAGAGGGGTGCATTAGTTCACGCCTGACGCAGACGGGCCGTTTGGATGAATGATGGCCTGGGCCGCATGTGAGCAGTCGTCCCAAGCGTCAGATGTGAAGCGTAGGGTAGGTGCGACGTCATACGCCCAAGCGCCATCACGCGCTAGCCTAGGGCAGGAACGATGCTTTGTGAGTTCCGTCGTCGTCGCTTATACGACGAACACCACAAGAAGCACACATAGGTTGCAGGCGCATACTCATCTGATGCCAACTGTATGATCGCTTTGTTGCAACCAGCTCAAATGTTCACATCGGCGGAGAAATGGTCTCCATGCACCTTGCAATAGTCCATCAGTCTGTCCACAGTCAACAGCGCTCATTCAACACCATATCCAGGTTACTAATAGCTGACCAACTGAGGTTGTCCGACGACGATAGTCAGAAATTTGGAGCAATGAAAATATACGGGTTCATGGCTCGGTGGTCCGCACCTCGAAAGCAAAGATCACCGTTCAGTTAGGCACTCGACTTGAGAAAACAGCAACACAGTGTAATAAAGGCTAGTATTGCCACGTATAAAATCCACGCTGTGCGGGATATGGAAACCCTTTTTGTAAGATCGAAAGCACAACCTGGGTGGAAGATGAAAGAACACACCCATAAACACCTGTCCAGCGCCCAACGCTTCTAAAATGCGAATGCACAACTCCACTACCTTCCCAACTACGCATCATGCTGCTGCTGCAACCCATGATGTTCCTTCTCCTCGCTCTCACTCTCCCTCGCAACAGCAAAGCTCTTGCGGACCGCCATATCCGCCTTTGTCTTTGTCATGAGCGCATCGCGGATATCCTGCTTGCTCCTTCCGGCCCAGGACTCGAAGTTCTTCTGGCTGAGCGGCCAGATGGGCATGTTGCCTGGGCGGCGCATGAATTCGGCGGCGGCGGGAGGTGGTTGCGCGGTGATGGTGTCGATGTCCATTTCTAGTTCTTCACAGTAGGCTTCAAGGGGAAGATCGTTAACGTCGTGGCCGAAGGGGTTCTCGATTTCGCGACCGATGGCTGAGAGACCGATGCTAGAGGTTGTCAGCGTTGATTATAGAAAGTGGATTGAGTGAAACTTACATAATGTAGGCGGCGAAGATGCAACCGGGGATGGTGATCCAGCGTAGGTCATCCCACAGTTGGAAAGGCAACATCATGACGTAGACCCAAGTGATTTGCGAGATAGCGATGGAGTAGGCGATAGGCAAAGGAGTCTGGAGAACACGATCCATACCAGTGAGGGCCTCGTTGAGCTGAACAACACCGGTAATGGCTTGGTTCTGGTAGAGACCGACCTTGAGCGTTTCATTGTCGATGATGCTGTGGACGTAGCAGGAAAGATGGTTCAGGATTTCGAGAGACAGGTTGCCGAGAGGCTTCTTGGAGCGCTTGATCCTCTTGCGGGGGTTCGACTCGGCGAATGTGACACCGAGGTATTCACCAACAGCCTTGATCTTCTTCTTGTCTCCTGGCTTGGGGATGTCGAGCTCAGCAGCGCGGGCGAAAGTGTCCAGGTACTCAATGCGGTCGCGAAGATCGGGGTAGTCGATACCAGGCTCAAACCGGAGCCTGTGCTTGACAGAGCAGGCAAACGCGTTAAGAAGGTTGAGCGCGGAGAGCTTGTTGAGAAGATCCTCCTTTCCGAGGTCGCCTTCGCGTTCGGAAGTGTGGTACCAAATTGTCCTTGCCAAGTTTTGGCTAACAAAGATCAACTGACTCCAGTACTTTCGGCCTTCGGTGTAACGCTCGTATGCGGTACTTGTTCGGAAAGAAATGGCAAGACCAACGACGAAACCGAGAACGGTCAAAAGAAGAGTGCTGACTTTGAGTTCGAAAATGAATTCAGAGACGCATGTGATGAGAGTCGACCAGAGAGTTACTACTGTGAGTGGTAAAATCATCTTGGGAAAGACCGAGCCGTGCATTCGCATGAAGTATGGCCATTTGCTGTGCTTGGACATGTCACGAGGACCGATCTGTTGATTGTTAGTAAGATGCAAGGCTATCATATTGAAGAGAAACCTACAAAGTAATCTTCAGCATCTAAGCTGCCGTTGGTTACCCTTCTTGAGGGAACCTGGTACGTAACAGTACGGTGTCGCCATGACCGCGGTGATATGGGTCCCTCAAACTCCTCTGCTGGCTTGTTCGTACCACTCGATGAAGGTGGTGGTATCTCAATATTATCCGGGCGAAGCGTCTTCGTAGTCGAAGCATTAGACGCCGCCATCTTGTCCGTAAGTATCGGAATCAGCGTAGCAACCGTCCAGCAGTTGAAGTGGTGTTAAGCAGTAATGCTATTCAAAGGACAGGATATGGTCAATGCGAGTGAGCGAGTGATGTAGATGGAGAGCTGGTGTAGCTTTTGTAAAGACTGAAAGCAAGAAATGCTAAAGACGATGAGGAAAGAGTGTGACAAAAGCAAGAGGTAGGTGAGGTAATGTGAGTAATGAAGGCAAGCGAAGACAAACCACTCCCGCCAGGAGTAAAGATCTCCCACCCAATGTTTAAATATAAAACACGCGTATCTGCACCTTCGCACAAAAAAATCCTCGCAAACCCATGGCGCCCACGGGGATTCGCTCCCGCACCTTTGGCAGCGCCATCATGGTCTAACATGCGATCCGCGACACACGTTGGCATGCAGGGGCCGTCTGGCACATTGTGCCCCTGAGCCAGAAGGACGACGGTCTGGCCAATCCGAGTGTGGGGTGCAGTGGAGTCTCTTCGTAAAGTTGACAATGGCGACGAATGACGGCAGGGGCGCAGCTTGAAGCAGCAAGGGGCGACACGCGGAGCCCTGTTTCACGAAACGTATCTCGCCGTGCCAAGCACGCCACTGGGCGTATTGAACGAGGTGTAGTCAGCGATGGTATGCCTTACTTGGGTACCTATTGTCCGACTGTAGTCGCGCGTGTGCGGGGCGCTATCGATAGCGATCTCCATAGGCCATTGCTGGCGTGAAGGTTCTCGCATAAAGAGGGCATGCTGGTGCGGGCTCTTCGTGTTCGATCGACAAGACCTTTGTGTCAGGAAATGTTCACGTCGAAGCCCGGCTGGCAGGTCTAGACTAGGGCGTGCCGAACCGAGGCTAAGATTACCCCTGACAGCATCGCACCAATGGGCGTGCTCGCGAACGATTCAACGTGAAAAAGCCTCGTCAGCAATTTCTAGAGCATCGGGAACACTGCTCGGGCGTGCAATTTGGCACATTGGCATGCGACGAGGCCATGGCAAGCTAGCCATTACGCCGCACCCGTAGCGACGCGGAACCGCGAGCATAGCTTGCTTTTTGCCTCTTAGAGACCCATGCGCTGATGAACCCGCCCAAAGCATGTGTCAGGTATGTCAGGTACGATGTATGTGCATTTACACAAATCCACAGAACGGGTTTTGCTTCATGGATTGTACTTCTAGACACATCGAAAGCGCACAGAGCCTTCACCCAGTCGCTTCATCTCCGGCCGCTCGTTCTCACCGCTTCGAGTCACTTTGACCAGGAAAGGAAGGAAAGCCCTTGACTATTTCGATGGCTGGCTACCTCCTCGCAATCCGCCTCATTTCCGCTCTCCCTCTTTCCAACTCGATGGCCAATTCTCTTGTCTTGAACGTCTTTCCATCAACGCAGATGTGCACTTTGTTGATCTTCTCTAGCAGTATGCGATAGTATCGTGCCTGGTAATCCACCGTGTTGAAGTCATTTGCAGCCCAGAGTTTGGCCCAGATATTGACCAACTGGTCGCGTATTACGTCTGTCCAATTCTTAGGGAATTCTTGTATCAATGTCGTCGACAGTGATCTTGATCTGTACATGAGAGGTGTACCATGTGGAGTCCCTTGAGGTAGCACGTTGAGGACGACCTCGTCAATAGAAGCGATCTTTCGATTTCTAGAGATGGGGTCCGGGCCGTGCTCGAATATGTGCCTGAGCGCTGCACACACTTCCCAAGCTGTGCGGTTGTAAGGAGCAAGCTCAGCTGTTACATTCGGCTCAGATATTCTGATGTCCACCCACAGCCGCTCGATGGTCGTCGTGTATGCCTTGGATACGGGTACTCTGCTACCCAGGCCTGTAAGGTGACTTGTGATGGGAGCAAGAAGGAATGATGCCCAGCTCGACAAGACATTAGTAAATGACGCGTTCCCGTCGTCTTGCTCCCTCCGAAGATCGTTTCTTTTTGTTGTGACGAGCGGCGCAGAAAGCCATGTAAAATGATATGTGCCGGAAACTTCAAAACAATCCATGCATGCAGCGAGCAGCCCTTTCCGCTTCGTTCTCTGGATAATTTGCATCATCTCCTCATTCACTTGGCGGTTGCACGCCAGGAAGCTAGCACATGTAGGCGGTCTCCTCTGTGATGCGATTAGACAGCCAAGTGAGAAAGGCGATTCAGGCTCCTGTATGCGGCACCATCCGGTGTCTGATCTGGTATCCTCTAACGATGGACGCGGTCGGCATGATAGAAGCAGCTCTGTGTATATAGCATCGCGCAATTCGCGGGGCAAGTCTAAGAGCTGTACCATCATGAACCAAGGCTTGCAGTTACTACCACAAAGTCTCAAAGATTATGAAGCTGCTGGAGATGTAGAGAAGGTGATGCGACATTATCTCCAATGAGATGAAGCCTCGCTTTGTCACCCCAGGCCAAAAATTGAACCGAATCCGAAGTCTGGGGTAATACCAGGGTTGTGTGATCGTTTCCTTTCTTCTGGGACGGCGAGTCTGATGGCGTGCCTGAGGCTGTTTCAGAAGTGCAGGTACACCTTGCGATAGCACGAGAGACTATGTCTGAGGCGCGTTTTGGATGAGCGCAAGGAAGTCGTAGGATCGGCAGCTGTAATGCAAGAAATTGATGGGACTTGAATGATTGGATAGACTAATGGTTGTGATGCTCAAGTACCAATTGATAGGATGGCTGGCGTGCGCTGAGCTATGAAGGCACGGGGCTCCGGATCTTCCATAGATACGTGGCGTCATGCTTGGCACAAATCGTCGGATTACCGTCGGACCGTACAGTAGAGTTCGACGTCAGCAACATGCCGACACATCGACTTGTCGACTTGAGTCAGTCGAGTAAGCACACGCCGGGTTAATTCGGAGCCGCACCAAGTCACAGAGATCACAGGCGCACCAATCGATGTACATGTTCATTGAACGACAAAGAGATCTTTTTATTCCGCAAGAACTCCCGCTAGCAACGCATGTGCTATGCTGATCTAATGTAATTGGACGAATATCACGTTAACACTGCCTTGTATTGAGGCAATGACAGAGGTGACTGGGTCAGAGAAAGTTGTGAAGTAAAACCGACATGTGTCTTTCAACATGCGGATCAAAGGTATCACGTTATCCTGCTATGGCATGCAGGACAGCGGTGACTAAAAGAGACGGGTATCTACGACTCTGCTGGAGCCGGGACAGAGTCTGTAGGCTGGGCCGTGGCAGGGGCCTCTGTTGCCAGAGCGCGGAAGCCATCGGTTGTGATGTTTACAGCACCAGCTTGTACAAGCTGTAGACATGTTAGCAACTAAACGGAAGCCATTCTTTAGAGGGACAGGACTTACAGCGCGGCTCAAATCATCAAGAAGATCCTCAGGATCCTCAATGCCAACGCACAATCGGATGATGTCTTCAGGCATGTTCCTTTCCTTTCTGGTCTTTTCGTCAATGCTGGCGTGACTCATGCGGCAAGGCATGCTGATGAGGGAGTTGACGCAGCCAAAGCTGACACTGATGCCCCAGAGCCTTGCGCTCTCTACAATGCGCTCACTAATGTTGACATCGCCAGTTTCGAAGGACAACACAGCGCCAGCGCCGCGTGCCATGCTCCAGTGCAAATCGTACTGTGGGTGCGACTTGAGACCAGGATAGCGGACCTTGAAGCCGTGAGACTCAAGGAATGTGGCAACACGCATGGCATTTGCTTGTTGCTTCTCCATGCGGACACCAAGGGTCTTGATCCCACGCAGCAGCAGCCAGGAATCGAACGGCGAGAGACCACATCCTGAGGCATTGATTGTGAAAAAGAGGCGATCTCCGAGCGCGGAGTCGTTGATGGCAATGACGCCTGCCATGAGATCGTGGTGACCGGACAAGTACTTTGTGCCAGACTCGTAGACGATATCGGAACCGAGATCGAGCGGGTTGAGCAACATGGGCGACATCATCGTATTGTCGACAGCGACCACGGCGGTAGGGTTCGCGGCGTGGGCGATGCTAGCAATGGCGGGAATATCGCAAATCTTTATCAGAGGGTTCGTGGGCGTCTCGAGGAGCACCATGGCCGTCTTGTTGCTCACTACTTCGCGTACTTTCTCTGGGTTTGTGGTGTCCACGTGGTGCACGATGATGCCGCCATGTGTCGAGAGGTACTTGAGCAGTCTGTTTGTTCCGCCGTACAGATCGTCGCCGGTCACGACTTCGTCGCCCGGTCGTAGGAGGCGGGTGATGACGTCGAGTGCGCCCATGCCGGACGAGACGACAAGCGCGCGGTTGGCGTTCATGATCTTGGCAAGGTGACGCTCGAGATGTGTTCGCGTAGGGTTGCCGGAGCGTGTGTAGTCGTACTCGCCGCCGCCTCCGGTCGCGGATTCCTGCTTGAATGTCGCGGACTGCGCATGTTAGCCTTTTGGCCGCCACCTGCTACCCGAGCGAGATTCGAGTGTCGCATACCTGGTAGATGGGCACAGAGCTGGCATTGTACTGGTCGCTGCTCTCCGTGTAGACCAGCTCCGTCATGAGGGCATACTTGCGGCCGTTACGGGGCGAGCTGGGCGCGGGCGATGGCGGGAGGTTGTGGCCGTCGAGGTCGAGCGGGACGGCCGCCTTGCCAGCGGCATTGGCCTTCTTGGAGCTCTCTCCAGCCATTGCGGTTGTTCTGCGTCCGCGGTACCGGCTTGATTGAAGCCGAGTGGCGGGGCTGCACGAGTTCCAGGCGTCGCGTTGAGGCGATGACGAAACCGTTCGATGTAGGGCAAAGCAAGACCAGAAGCGAAGCAGTCTAAATGTCAGAGGGCTTCAGGTTACGGGTGTACGAGTGCAGAGGTCAAGAGTGTCACAACACGGCATCAAAGACATGTGCACGGCTGCGTTAGCCCGCCGTGTGGGGAGTCACCGCTGGAATTGCGCCATCGACAACAAATCGGCAGTTTTCCCTCGCTCCGAACATCGCCCGCGCTATCTCGCCTCCGAACTACGGGCGTCGTGGGCCCTTACCCCGGATTCAGACAAAGAACCCACAACAATACGCCTGTCGAAATTACCTGGATGCTTTTGACTATCTGATTATACGGGTATACCTAATGTGACAAAGCTGGCTTTACAACACAATTACCATCCTCCCCACCTAGCTCGCTGTGCGCCAAAACCTGTTCGCCGTACCAAATGCCTGACCGTCCCACAAGAGCTCAAAAACCGCGACAGCGTTGAATCCAACGACAAAAGGAAATCCAGTCCGAAGCAGCCATAAGTTCGAAAAAAAAACTCGATCATCGGGGAGTAATTGCAGGGAACGCCTTCCTCACGTGAAGGTTCATCTTGAACTCGAAGATACCTTCCTCTGTGCCACAATACAGAGTCCGCCCATCCTGGCTCATGGCGAGTCCCGCCGTCCGTACGCCTAGTCTCGCATCATGTGTCGTTCGGCTTGAACCTCGGAGACCTAGGCTGAACTCGTAGGATTCAAGAATAGGCTGGCCAGCGCGGGTGATGCGAAGACGTTCACGTGCCTGCGTTAGTTGACGGATTCGACGAAGCTCGCTGCGAAGTTCAGGCGCAGTAGCATGGCTGTCGGCTCCAGGCGCATGTGCGTTAGTAGCGCGGGTTGTAGCGCGGTCCTGCTCAGCTGCCAGTGCATCTTGAACAGTGCGCCACGCTTCATCTGTCGAAGCAACTAGCTCGTTGGTCACGCGACGCGCGTGTGCCGGCACCGCGTTTGGTGAGCGGGTAAGGACAGAGTCGGTGATATTGGTGAGGGCAGCTGGTGCGTTGACTGTGCCCTCGTTTATGGACACGATGACGGAAGCCCGACGGTGAGGTGTTGTGCGCTCTTGGAGCCAATTGCGTGAGTGAGTCTGCCCAGTCCTTTCTGCCATGAAGCGAGCCATCGCATCGGCTACCTCTCGAGCTGTAGGCTCCCTGCATTTCATCAGTCTCACATTGCCGCAGTAATTTATGGGTCACATACGGTACAGTGTTGAGTCGCTCAGAAGTTGTGTAGTTGATACTTCGGGGCGTTACTTCCTGCTCATCCCGAGCCTCTTCAGGCTGCCTATGCCTTGTCCGTAGAGCACTAAGCACTTGCCTTTCGCGCACGGTTAAGCCAAGTGGATCGTTGTCCGACTCTACTACACCCAGCCGTCGATGTAGCCTCTGTCGCTCAGTGTCAGTTTCGAGGTATTCATTCGCGACATTGGCGGTCGTCGTGTTGCCTTCCCCGTCTAACGCGCGTCGATATCTCCTGATCAGATCCGCTTCTCTGCGAAGCTCATGCATTTCAGGACTGAGGTTGAGGTCAAAATCAGCTATCTCAACTGTCTCGAGACCTTCCTCTTTCGGATCCAACGTGAGGGTTTGCTTAAGCTTGAGGCCAGCTCGCAAGTCGGCAATGCACACCCTGCCTTGGTCTTCGCTCCAGATGAGGAAGTCCCATGGTGCTGGCGAGAAATGCATCGTCCGCACTGCGCCAGGCCCAGTTCGACTGTCCGGCCTAGTAGAACTTATCAACTGTAGGATCGCGTCTTCACCGTATTCGACGAGTTTTAACAGTTCGATATCAAAGACTGTGATGTAGCCGCATTCTGATCCCACTGCACAGAGACGTCCTGAGGGGGACCAAGCTGTAGTAAAGTAGCCGTCTGCATGAGAATGAGCGGGCCTATAGAGGTTTACTCTGTGTAGCTCCGTCCACACGGGAGGCGTCGACTGCATCAGCCCCTCACGGATCTTATTGCTAGGCTTCCGCGAGTCTGTACGTTCGAAGAAGAAACCAATGGGGGCGTCACCGACAGCCACGAGCATTTGGCCATCGGGAGAAATGGAAGCATGGTTCATTGCGAATTCCAGGTCGATGACTGCCAGCTCCAGATTCTGTGTAAGAGAGTATATGCGCACCGTCTTGTCGTTGTTGGTGAGGACTGCGACAACATCATCCTGGCCGTTGCCTTCAGCTGGCAGCTTGTGTATGGATATGGAGTTGACGATATCGGTTCCAATCTTCTCGAGGCGTACGCGCGAAGCTGCACCTAGTATGGGCGGGCGAGGCAGGCGGTGCTGGAAGTCCAAGGGCAACGAGGCGTCGACGTCGGAGGGATCCGTTGGGGGGAAGCCGGTCACCTTGATGGCGGCGAAGTTGCCGTGTTCTTCTCCCCCCACGCAGACGTAGCCGTAGCCCGAAGCCGTGCAGCGCGCTTCCCAGGGCAGTGTAGTAACGTGGGCCTGTGTTCGTGTAGCCGCATTGAGGCAGTAGACGGCGGCGCCACTCGCATAGTAGACGAGATCTGGTTCGGGGCACGAGATGAAGTGGCGCAATTGATAGTGTCTGCACCCGTCAGCGTCGACCCATGGTATGGCAGTGTCTGGCTGGCGCTCACGCGATGGGGATCTTGGTCGGGTAGTACGCCTTGTGAGCCAAGACAAAGGTCTCGGTGTCTCTGCTCAGGAAGTCATCGACGGCCATAGTTTGCGGTCAGGCAGGAGAAGGCCGCATGTCTCTGCGATGCTGGGTGGAGCCGGTGAGGCTCAGCGGCAGCAGCAGGCACTCTACGTCACAGTTGTCTAAGCGCAGAAGGCTAGAGGGTTTGACAGGAGGGGCTGCAGACAGGTTCGAGGGCGAGATGCAGCGGGTGCGTAGGTTCTATGTGGGCGTGGGTTGGATATGTCGTAGGGCGGGCTGGCAGAGTCGCCGTGTCTCGCGGTGCTCCAGGCGTCACCATGGTCAAGCATCTTCCCCACACGCGAGCGAGATGCGCCAAGCCCTGAGCACCGCGACGCACGGCGAGGGCCATGACACAGAATGCAGCGGCCGTCATCGCGTCATCCACCAGCGGCGCCCACTGGCAAAAAGTGCATTTCGCCTCGTCTTCCGGAGTTAGGTCGCATGCGCAATTGTTCGTAGCAACTCGGAAGCACAGACATTAACAGCGGAACCTCGGGCGGCGATTTTACACCAAAACGAGCTAGAATCTTCTCCGAGAATTTTGTCCATCGTCAAAGCTTCCATCACTACATCATATATACCATCGCCCTCCCACCATCCATCTCTGCACCCAATCTTCTGTCGCTTGCATCCCCTCCCGCAGCGTCTCTCACATCCACAATGCTGTCCTCGAGATTATCACGGACCGTAAGCAATTGCATGCATCCAAATATACTTGACATTCTCTGACCTCATCATAGTTTTTGCCGCGTGCGGCCTCGGCGGCGCGACGCACACCCGCCTTCAGGGCCCCCGCCATGTTCACGCGCGGGTACGCTGAGGGCGGCGAGGAGAAGGTCAAGGGCTCAGTCATTGGTATTGACTTGGGTACCACCAACTCCGCCGTCGCTGTCATGGAGGGCAAGGTTCCTCGCATCATTGAGAACTCCGAGGGTACGTTCATCTGGTTTTTCACCAAAATTGGCCATCCCGCTGACCCAATCCACAGGTGGCCGCACAACCCCATCCGTCGTCGGTTTCACAAAGGAGGGCGAGCGTCTCGTCGGTATCGCCGCTAAGCGCCAGGCTGTCGTCAACCCCGAGAACACTCTTTTCGCTACAAAGCGTCTCATCGGCCGAAAGTTCACCGATGCTGAGGTCCAGCGCGATATCCAGCAGGTCCCATACAAGATCGTCCAGCACACCAACGGTGATGCCTGGCTCGAGGCCCAAGGACAGAAGTACTCGCCTTCCCAGGTTGGAGGTTTCGTCCTTGGAAAGATGAAGGAGACCGCCGAGTCCTACATGGGCAAGAACGTCAAGAACGCCGTCGTCACCGTCCCCGCCTACTTTAACGATTCCCAGCGTCAAGCCACCAAGGACGCCGGTCAAATCGCTGGTCTCAACGTCCTCCGTGTCGTCAACGAACCCACCGCTGCCGCCCTCGCCTACGGTCTTGACAAGGCCACCGACAACGTCGTAGCTGTCTACGACTTGGGTGGTGGCACATTCGATATCTCCATTCTTGAGATCCAGGCTGGTGTCTTCGAGGTCAAGTCTACCAACGGTGACACTCACCTTGGAGGTGAAGACTTCGACATCACTCTCGTCCGCCACCTCGTTGACCAGTTCAAGAGGGAGCAGGGTATCGACCTGAACAGCGACCGCATGGCCATCCAGCGTATCCGTGAGGCCGCTGAGAAGGCCAAGATCGAGCTGTCTTCCTCCTCGCAGACCGACATCAACCTGCCCTTCATCACTGCCGACGCTTCCGGTCCCAAGCACATCAACACCAAGCTCACCCGCTCCCAGCTTGAGAAGATGATGGACCCTCTCATCACCCGCACCGTCGAGCCCGTCCGCAAGGCTCTCAAGGACGCCAACTTGAAGGCTACCGACATCTCCGAGGTTATCCTCGTTGGTGGTATGACCCGTATGCCCAAGGTTACCGAGTCTGTCAAGAGCATCTTCGGCCGTGACCCCGCTAAGTCGGTCAACCCCGACGAGGCTGTTGCCATTGGTGCTGCTATCCAGGGTGCTGTTCTTGCTGGTGAGGTCACTGACCTCCTCCTGCTCGATGTTACTCCTCTCTCCCTCGGTATCGAGACCCTCGGTGGTGTCTTTACCCGTTTGATCAACCGTAACACCACTATCCCCACCAAGAAGTCCCAGGTCTTCTCCACCGCTGCTGACTTCCAGAGCGCTGTCGAGATCAAGGTCTACCAGGGTGAGCGTGAGCTTGTCCGCGACAACAAGCTCCTCGGCAACTTCCAGCTCGTTGGCATTCCCCCGGCCCACCGTGGTGTACCCCAAATTGAGGTCACCTTCGATATCGACGCTGACTCCATTGTCCACGTTCACGCCAAGGACAAGTCCACCAACAAGGACCAGTCCATCACCATCGCTTCCGGATCTGGTCTCTCAGACGCTGAGATCGAGAACATGGTCAAGGACTCTGAGCAGTACGCTGAGCAAGACAAGGAGCGCAAGAACTCCATCGAGGCTGCCAACCGCGCTGACAGTGTTGTAAACGACACTGAGAAGGCTCTCAAGGAGTTCGAGGACCGCCTCGACAAGGCTGAGGCCGAGAAGATCAAGGAGAAGATCGCTTCCATGCGCGAGTTCATCTCCCAGAGCCAGTCTGGCGAGGGCTCTGCCACCGCCGCTGAGATCAAGGAGAAGACCGACGAACTCCAGAACGCCTCCCTGAGCCTGTTCGACCAGATGCACAAGGCCCGCTCCGAGAGCCAAAACCAGAGCGAGCAGCCTCAGCAGCCTGAGGGTGAGGGCGAGAAGAAGCAGTAAATGCTTTGATCGTTCAGCACTGGTTTTTGTCTTTCTTGTTGATCGCTTCGTTACGTCCAAAAGTAGGCGTCTTGCATCCTGTCATGATTGGTCTGGTTTAGGTCACGTCTAGACGTGTACATGTCCCTGCACATGTTTGAGCATCTCTGTATCATACTTTCCGACGGTTTCTCTTCTCACATTAGCGTTTGTTTTATTACCCTTACGGATCCTTGGTACACGTCGGAATTAACGAAACAGTGATATCCTCTGGTGGTCAGGACATGATGTGGAAGGGACGATATAATGGTGGAGTCATGAATGTACCATAGTCTAGAGATGCGAGATGGTAGCACTCCGCTTACTTCTCCGCTCTACAATCTACGATTTGAAATGTTCATGCTACTGTCCTTACATTTGCGCTAATATCGTGATCAATGGACCACACTATAGGTTTACATGATCTTCTGTGCCCCGCTATCTGAACCTCGGGATAACCTCATAATGTCGACCCGCTAAAGTCTTACGTCATAGCCGACCTCACAACCGTTGGCTTCCGGCCTTTGACTATGCGTAAAGTTAACCTCAGATTGAACAGCCTCTTCCTATGACTCCATCTCACATTGCAGTCAAACAAGGCTTCCTCATCGCGCGTGGGACCATCATCACTAGATCAATCGTCACCAAGTCCATACACTGTTCATTGAAGTACTCTCCGCTTTGTACACCCACCGGGATCGGCCCATCTGGTACTCAATACCGACGCCCTTTGAGCATTCGACTCAGCTCGACTAAAACCAAACCCAAGATGACAGACGCAACGAACCACCCCCTCTCCGGTCTCTGGCAACCGACGCAACTCCAGAAACTACACTACGGCGCCGACTCAGTCAAACAGCATCTCCTCTCATGCCTCCCAAAAGAGTCAAGCAAAGCCTTCATCATCACCGGAAACTCACTTGCTAGCAAAACGCCCTTGGTAAAGCAAGTCGAAGAGCTATTGGGAAACAAGCACGCAGGCACCTTCTCCAAGATTGGCGAACACGCACCTGTCGCCCAACTCGACGAAGCCACCGACCTAGTCAAGAAAGACGAAAGCATCGATACTGTCATCTCCATTGGCGGCGGAAGCCCGATCGACAGCTCCAAAGCCATCAGCTATCGTCTGAACGAGAAGACTGGAAAGTACCTATACCACATCGCGATCCCCACCACGCTCAGCGCAAGTGAATGCACCCTGATGGCTGGCTACACGCAATCCGATGGTGTCAAGACGGGTGTGCGAGCCAAAGAACTCGTTCCGCATTGCGTAATCTACGATGCCAAATTCGCTCTGCATACCCCCGAGCGCCTGTGGATGTCAACAGGTCTCCGTGCCATGGATCATGCTATCGAGCTATTATACCATCCCACCGCCACCGAGATGCCTGCCAGATGGTTAACGCTACAGTCCGCAGCCACCCTCTTCGAAGCCCTGCCAAAGTACAAGCAAAACCCCAAAGACGAAGATGTCATTACAAAGCTTCAACTCGCTGCATTCGCTTCCCTGGGTTTCTTGGGCTACAACATCAAAGGCGGTCTCGGCCTGTCTCATGCTCTGGGCTATGCTCTGGGTTCTCCCTATAGTATCCCGCATGGCATTACGTCTTGTCTCACTCTCGGGCATGTGGTCAAACTGAAGGCTCAAGATCCTGCTGCAGCGGAGCAAGTTGCTCGTTTGCTCCCTTTTATCGGCGAATCGGTGTCTGGTGATGCCAAGGCTGATGCGGAGAAGGTAGGTGATAGGGTGCTGAAGTTGGTGAAGGATCTGGAGCTGGATAGCGATTTGAGAAATTACAAGGTGGGCAAGGATCAGATTCCGGTGATCACTGAGAGAGCGACTGGTGGGCAGAAGGAAGGTCAGGTTTATGATGCTGTTGAGGGACTGGTTAAGGGGTTGTTTGTTTGATTCGGCATTTACTTCGCCTTCTCTACCCTTCTACCCCCCTAAGCCTTAGGCGTTCCTCTAGAAATTAAAAGCACGAGAAAAGCCTTTCATGTTCACATAAAGTAAACTAAACTTTAGCGGCACGAACCGCATTAATCTTTCCAATCAAGAACTCGCCAGCCTCCTCCGCGTCATCGCCATAGCTGAGATGAGGAAGCAGAACAGCCCCTGCGAGGTTACCGTCACAAACCGTGTCACGAACGAGCCCACCGCAAAAGATTTGGAGCTTGTCGCGGGGGAAGTTGGGGATTTGCTGGTTGTCACGGCGGTTCTGGGTGTCGCCAAAGGTAACGACACCAGCGATCTGGTTCTTGACACTGGCCGAAAGATCCTCGATAGCACGGTGATTGACTGCTGCACCTTGACTGTGGTCATGATTAGTCGCTGAATGGGTTCGACAAAGGGCGGAACATACGAGTAGCCACCGCAAACGATGACAGCCGAAGGGCATTGACTGTTGATGTCTTCAAGAATGCCGCGCATCTCGCGCTCAGAAACGAGATCGGTGCCGCCGGGCAAATAGTTGGTGGAAAGCAGCGCTGCATAGTCGACGCCCTCAATAGCCAGGTCGTCACCGTATTCGCGGCGCAGCTCATCGCCCAGTGGCTGACCGATGATAGAGCCCTATCCTCTCAAGTTAAACCAAGGTACAGCTACCCAACCCTCGTATGACTTACCATGTTGCCCGCTTCGGTAGATCCTCGAGCCCAAACAAAGATGACGTCCCTACATCCGCCACCGAGCCGGCTGGAGAACTCATTCTCGGTCAAGCTGGTGCGGTCAAAGAAGATTTGGCGTGTCGCAACCACGGCAGACCCCGAGTTGGGGAGCGCGATAGGCGTGGCAGAAGAGGCGATGGCCAAAGCCAGGATGGAGATGATGGTGTTCATCATGATAAAAGTAAGAGCGAAAGATGTGTTTGGTAAAGAGACTACGGCGTAGAAAAGCGAAGGCGAAGGCGAACAGAGAGAGCGAGAGTGAGTGAAAGGCAGAAGGAGCTCGTTGTTGAAGCTTGCCGGATGGTTGTGAGGTGAAGATGCCTTATACTTATACACACGATTTGCTCGACCCTCCTTCTAATCCCACGCTCTCCTCCCTACGTGAATGATCCCGTCTCACCATCAATATCTTGGTGTATTCCAAGAGCAGTTCGCCGACATTGGTGCCTGAACCGAGGCAGCTCTTACTCCTCTCCACCACCCAATTAGCTAGAGCCTGAGGAGGTTCTCTTCAAGTGGCCAAGAACATAGTATTATACCAAGACACGGGGAGGAAAAGTAAAGCCTAAGATTAGAAGTTGGTGTGTGAGATAGCAGATAAGATACAGGGCCTGTCCTAAACCTCACTCCTGGTAGTTCTGGACTGACCTTGGAAGACTTTGGAAACACCAATAGCTGCTCTTAGAGCGTTCGACGCACCTCGGCAACTTATTGTGTATGATTGCATGACTCTTAGATCGTCTGGGGTGCATCGGCAATTCGACGCGAACGAGATCTTTTCAAGGTTGGATTCATCGTATTGTGTCGCAGGTCCTTGCGTCTGATCGGGCTTGGCTTGCCGTGATTGAAAGCTAGGTTGGGATTGTCGTCGTTTGCACCCGTCCATGCAGAAAGACGTGGGACCACGGGATTAGGCGTCCCGCCACGGCGATGAACTGTTGCTTACTGTAGCCTTTGCGGTGGCAAACCACAGCCATATCGATACCTCAGGCATGTAGACACCTCATACTGACGGTCATTGCTTTCGACCTAGACAAAAGACGACTGTATTTAAGATTGATGATCTGTAGCCGTGAGCAACTCGAAAGAACGCAATTGGTGTAACGCGCATGATATTACCACACATTACTGCCAACCGTAGACCACTCCCCATGATACCTCATTCCTGGTCTTCAACTGGCTGCAATCGTGCCTCGGTACCAAAATCGAATAGATTAAAGGTTCACAAAGCCAAGAGGATGTTTTGTGCAGATGATCGCAACACCATCGACACCCTTGTCAAACATGTCACAGTTGCCGAGGTCCCATTTCAGCCACCACAGTCATCCAATCTTTCAACGACACAATGCCACTCAACCTTGTCGTATCTTCCTGTGACGTTTGATTGGGATGGAAGTAGCGTTCGAGATGGGCGAACTTATAAGGCACTGTAGTCTCCTTCCAAGATGCGTGCAACAACAAGTTCTACCAGAGCAGATCAAGTTCACTGCCCACGAAGATGCGCTACACTTCTATTGCTCCTCTTTTGGCCTTTGCATTCTTTGCCACCTCTTCTGCCCAAGAGGAATGTCCCGAGCTACCTAATAGCGGTGTGGAAATCGGGGAGCCGGTTCCAATCGTTCCTGGCGATGTCCCCAGAGGATGTTCCGACTACGAGATACTCGTTGGTAAGCTGCAGTTCAATGACCGCAAATGTCTACCGCAACATTGACCATGTTGTTAGCTCGTGGAACCAGCGAGCCTAGCTTCCCAAAATACGGCGTCATCGTTGGTGACCCTGTTGTGAGCAACGTTTCAGCGGAACTGTCTGGAGTACAGGGGTATCCGGTCCAGGTACGATATCCAAGTATTGCTTCGAACAAAGCATCACCAACTGAATTCCTTTCAGTACCCAGCCAGCTCGCAAATCATTTCTGGTGGACGGCAAGGCGTCGATGACATTGTTCAGCGCTTGACCGCGCAGTCTTCCGCCTGCCCCAATCAGACCTTTTCTCTGGTCGGCTACTCGCAAGGCGCAAGCATCATGCACCGAGCTGCAGACAGACTGCCTACTTCTCTGTTCCCCAAGATCAAGTCGGTTGTCATGTTTGGAGACCCAAATTTGAGGCTGGGCGTAGTTGGAGATAAGTTCCCTAATGGTCTGAAGGCAAAGGTGCTGCAGATTTGTGCAAAGGGCGATCCTGTAAGTCTATCAATCGTGTTGTACGAGGGTGGGAGACAGACCATGCTGACCATGAGATGTAGGTCTGTGACTCTGGGTCCTGTCAGTTCTATCACTTGACCTACATCCGTCCCGAATACATTGAAGGGGCCGTGACGTTTATCGCGAGGGCTTTCAAGGGTATGACCCTCTAGAGCGGTACTGTGGTTTAGCAGTCTGTATGGTTGCTCTGATAGATCAAGGCATTTTGAGTAAGTATTTGGTCCTCCAGAATATGTAAGATTGAGAAACAGAGTATCGAAGCAGGTGATATACATATGTATATAATCTGAACCGGAGTGGTGACCTGCCAACGCCAACACCAACCGAACGCTGAATCGAAAAGTGATGATAGCAACCCAGAACAGACGTCGTTTGAAAAGAGCGACACGTGAAGTGGATGCCATGCCGCGAAAGGCGTCTTAACTAGCAAGTTCCCCAATCACACCGGCCACGTAGCATAGTGCCGAGGCCCAGATGGCCGTTTTGACTATACCCGCTGCTTTACCGCCCCTCTTCTTATCTTTGGTCGTTCGTCCGCTCCGGTCTTGTTCTGTGCTGCTCTCTTGATTAATAACTGCTCGCTCGGCAGCCTGCCTGCGCTCAGTGAAATCCTTCTCAAGTTGCTCTTCGCTCTCTTCTGGCCCAACGTAGCCGGTAGGCGATAGGCGTGCCGTTCCATCTATCGGATTGATGTAAGTTCTTTCTCCTGTGATGCCAGCGTCCTTGTTCTGCTCCATTGTGGTTGATGGATCGGCCGTTTGGAAGGGTCTGGTAGACGCTGTGGAACTGAGACCGCCGCGCAAGACGAGCAAATACTTGTTTGCTTTGACGATCTCAAGACCATTCTCGATGTACGGAATGAACTTAGCGGGCTCTTCGAGAGTTGATAGCGCTTCATGTAGTGGTATTATAGGAGGGGCCTTATGGGGTTCCGTTGTTGTAGAGGTGGTTAGCGAAAGCTTGCCGCTGTGCGGATCGTGCAAAAGGATTGTATAGATCGTTGGTGAGCCCGGTTCTGGCGAATGCGATGATGCGCCTGACTGAGGTATTTCACCAACAGCATCGTCAATGCTCGGTTTCGGGTCTACTGTGGCATGTTCGGTCGTTGGAGTAGTGTGGTCAGCGGTAAAGATTTCTTGTGTAGCTTTTGGGGCTGCATCGATTGCTGTGACTTCTTCTCCGCGCACGGTATCTGCGGTAGTTGTGCCACTGGCGTGATATGAGGCGTCGTCCATTGTAGGATCCTCCTTCAACATGTCAAACTTCTTCACGTAATGATCTTCAGTCAATCTGCTTTCCTTAACCGGACAGGCCGGCTGCTCGTGATCAGTGGCGACAGGACCAGACCTATCCTCGTTCGAGTTTTGCATGTTATCAGCCAGTTCGTAGTCGTCACGTTCGTGGGTCACCTTCACGTCGGCCTCTGTTGCGCCTATCTTAGATGGCGTTTCACTCTCTAAGCTCTCCAAAACGGGTCCGAATGGTCTAAACAGGCTGTGTGCAAGGGGTCCTCGCTCTTCAAACGATTTGCTCGGTGTTGCCTTCGGCATACGCGCGTATCCATCATCTGAGAGTCCACGCATAGCTGACTTCTGTGCATCGACCTCATGGGCGAGACGTTCTTCAGCAGCTACCTTGGCACGAAGCTGGGCTTTGTCGGCATCACTCATAGCGGAAGACGTCTTGGTCTGAGATGACTGCTCACGGTCCTGCGGAACTTCCAGAGCTGGGGTGTCGGGAAAGATTTTAATGTCCTCCCAGAGATGTGGAGCCACACCGTAAACGAGCATGGCACGTTCCAGCAATCGAGATAGGGCCATCTGTGTATCTCTAAGAGTTAGCAAACTGTTCGCAACAGCTTTGTAGTTTGCGAGCATGCTCTGATCAATTTCCGGGTCCTCGAGCCGGGCCTGTAGACTCCAGATGAGATAACGCGTAAGGTGAGCGTTCTTCTGGGTAATTTTCGACGCAATGCTCAGGCGCCTTTTGAACGCTGGTGAGGCGTTCTTTGTTGCGTCCGAGTCGCCGAGATCTTGGAGCAAGGCGTATGCCTTATTAAGGTCGTTGTCTGTGCTCTGGTACCGGAGACGCAATTCTTGAATTGCCCTTACTTTCTTCGGCGTCAATGAACGAAGCTTTCCGATTTCTGAGCGTTGTCGTAGAGTGTTGATAGCAGAGTCCAGGAGGTCCTCATCCGCTTTCATACGCCTCAAGAGAGGTTTAGATGCTGGAATGTCTGCCTCTAGGTCTTCGACCACTTGCTTCATCGTCGTGCGACCTTTGCGAATACGTGCTAGGATCTTGTCGAAGAACAAGCGGGTTTTCTTCGCATCCGCTTCTTCGGTCGGGTCTTGCCAGAAAAGACTAGAGAATCTTGCACCGCTTTCTTCAAGCCAAGACTTCATCCGTTCGACGCTCGACTCCAACTGGCTTTCGTCTGCTTTGTATGGGGTTTCGTCCATCTTTGTAGTTGTCCTGGGCTCACTGGATTCTTGTGAATCAAACGAGATCTCTGGCCGCTGCATTTGGCGTTCGATTCGACGAACGTATTGGTCATTGATGATCTTGGACTCAAGCATCGGATCCATACCGGTCTTTGCCTTGGGGGTGCTCTCGAAAGTGCTCTCCAATCTAGCCCGATCCGCTTTTCTACGTTCTTCGTCCAGGACCTTGCTCCTTCTTGCGGCCATGTTCGCACGAATCTCCTCCGCACTCAAGAAGTCCAAGTCGTCTTTGGGCAACTGGCTCAAGATTTTTGACGTTGACCTCACAGATGTGACGCTGCCTTGTGTACTGGGTGTCTCTTGTGGTGGGATGTGTTCTTGCGTGGAAGGTTGCTTCGTGCGTAGAGGACCTGAGCTTGGAGGAAGCGACGGGAGGGTTTCCTGCATATGTGGTTCTGAGGAGAGCTCGTGGGTCCCGTCAGTTGAGGATGCTGACATTGACGACTCGTCACCAGCCTTTGCCATGGGCGCAGAGTCGGCATCAGGCTTTGCTACGACGTCCTTTGGTATCCTCCTTTGCAGTGTGGTCTCTCTCCAGCTGCCTGTCTCCGCCGTGCCGTGTCGTTGCGCGTCTTCGTGTTCGGGCTTCTCTGTCAGGAAGCGGTCCATAAAGGAAGGTTCTCTACTGGGTGCGGCCGTGCTGGATTGTTCGATCTTCTTAGCCGCATCCGTTTTCGTTTTCGCAATGTATTCTTCAAACGACTCCGTGCTCTTCGGTCGCGTCGGCTGCTCGTGTTCGTAGTCCTGCGCTGTGGCACTAGGTGCGCTTGTTGTAGATTCGGTCGATAATCCTGAATGGCGGCCAACAATCTTGACATGAGATTGCTCTCGCGGCCTCCTGAGATCAGAGGGTGACTCAATGCCAGTCGGGTCGTCAGGGAGCAGTCTTGTCCTGGATGACGGTTGGGGGAAGTGTGATTCTCTTTCCCTACGGATATCGCGCTCTTCACTATCGATCTTGACCCGTCGCGGGTAGTTCGGATCAATACTGCTACTCTTGCCTTGCTTCGGCGGCGAAGCGTTATCGTCGTGGCTCTCCATCTCTCTCAACATCCACTTAGGAATGCTATTGGCAAGCCATTCCCAGTCTTTGTTGCCCTTGCCACTCAACCTCTCGTTGCTGGCCCCGAAGATGGCCTCGTATGGATCATTCATGAGTTTCCTTCGCCATTGCTGGTACTGCTCTAGCTGCAACCATTCCAGGTTGGACATGCCGGATGGACGTTTGTTGCCATTGTTGTCTTCGTGTTGTGCTGACTTGGAGGGCGTGCGCGAGAAGCACCGCGTGCGAAGGGCCGCGTCGTCGGAGCGGAGGATGCGTTGCGCATAGCGTTGGAAAGGAGCGAGTGTCGGGTCCCGGCGCCACCAAGTCATGATGGAAGCCGTCAGGGGGATCGGAGAGAGAAGGGATGCAGGAGGTAGACTGGGAGTCTTAGCTCTGTGGCTTGTCAGAGATGGAGGATTACATGATTGCAAGTACAACATACCGTGATACCTATCGCAGGTCTGCTGTCCAAGGCACCGACAGCTCCTCGGAGCTGAGCCTAGGTGAACGGATAGTGGTTACATCAATAGCCGGCAAATGGCGCTGGGAGCAGTGGCGCACTCAAGGGACGAGAGCAATGCTGTGAAGAGCGTGTGGATTGAAGAGAAGATCGAGAACAGCTAAAGGCGATGGAAGGCCAGGCAGCCTCCAGGGAGTGATGGCGTCGCCATATCCCCGCGTAAGCTCCGTGCCGCTTATCATGTTTCGCGGGGTACGTTCCCGCGTGATCGCTTGTTCGCGTCACCATTTCACTGGTCCCGGTCGTCCAGAACTGCCCACGCCACATGAGACGCTTTTCCTTTTTGCTGTAGATGGTATTGCTGATAGGGTCGTTGTGCGTAGCCTTCGGTTGATGGATATCACTGAGGCTTGACGCGTACCAAGTCGCGTCACGACGCCGATAAGGCGATAAGGCAACAGCGCTACGCCCTATCGGATTTCCTCTCTGGGGAACCTTTCACTCTCAGTACCAAAATCGCGATGGCAACTTTCATTCAATACTCACGATCCTCAATTGCAACGCTGACCACAGGTTGTCAATGAATGTATCGTTCCGAACAACCTACCTACAGGTTTCAAGATCGGCGCGCATTCATCATCCCCGTCTCGGCGTGGCACCCAATGTACTCGAAGAATTGCTGGTCCGGCTCCAGCACGTAAACCTCATGAAACAGCCGGAGAGACAATACATTGTTCAGCTTTTTCGCATACATCAGAAAGCCTCCGAAGATGTTGATATGCGTCTGGTGGCTTTTACTCCAGTATTCAAGCGACGCCAGGTCATCGAAATAGCCCAAACCGAACGTTCTTTCACTGTTCGCCTCGAACGAGTTTGAATCCACAACATCCCACAAGTTCATCGCATAACATCCAACCTCGCGCCCTTCATCACGTAGAAACTTCATCCCCTCGATGAGCACCGGATGCATTGTATCGAGGTAGAGTTTGCGCTCTCCTGGTAGCGTGTCGGACCAATCCTGGCCCGATCGAATCACGCACAGATTGGGCCTGCCGGATATACGGACACGTTTTGAGGAATCTGCATCATCACTCGAGCCATTCGCGGTGCCATCCTTAGAGCACCAATCATCGCCCTCGAGTTTGTTGTCTTGAGCAGCTGCTAAGCGATCCCGCATGCTACCCCAATACGCGTGTTGTTCCAACTCGCCCGAGATACTCTCTTGCATGTTGGCCGCTCCTTCTGGATTCTCAGGGTTTGAAAATACTGTTTCAAAACGATCCATCGTTGGACACAGAATCTCCTGGAACCACCCATGCCCATCTCTTTCCCTGTCTGAACTCTGCCACCAAGTATCGAACCCAGATTCCTGCTGCCAGCTTCTGTGCAAGTCTGCGCTGCGCCAATATGCGATCACGGCGATGCTATAGGCACCTCTCTTGTCGATTACGGAGGTTGTTTCCCAAATTGACGGGCGCTTTGACTCTGGCCCTCTACTCAAGAACTCCTCAAGTTTGCTAACGGCTATACCGTCGTGCCCGGTAACAGAGTCGTACTGCGCTCCCATCATGGCCATGACGAGATCATTCATTGTTGCCTGGAATCTGGAGCAATATCCAGGGAACGGCGGAATGTAGTTGGACGGCGTGCTGACAGGGCATGTTCTCTCCCTGCGATGGTGCTCTGGAATTGCGTCCTCTGGCATCTTCAAGACTTATTCGAGAAGTTATATCGGATCTGTGGGGAAAAGATCCGTCGCACTCCTCGTGCCTGGGCGCTGTGTTGTGAGAGGAAGCCACAGGGCACCGTCTATCGAGTCTCAGCTAAGGGCGAGTCTTGCTGCCCGCTCCTCGCAGTCCCGTACAACGGCACGGGACGCTGTGCAGCAAGGGCCTCGGTTCACATGTGTCTAGGTGGGGCACTGGACAAGGGTCGGATCTCGCGCTAGGCCTTAGACCTGGAGTCTGGATGTGCTCCCGGCATCAATTTTCTTTTGTGCCTAGAGAAGCCACTGTACTGACAGTGACGTAGTATTTGCGCATATGCGCTTCTGCAGCACTCTCATCTGGGAATTTGCGAAGCTGAGTACGAGTTCAAGATCCACATTTGACACAACCCTATCTGCGTGGGCCGCGCGCCGCTAAGGCATGGACCGCCAGGTACGGCTGAAGGCTGTATGTCAGCCAGGCTCTTTTCCAGTCTCGTGTCCAACTACATCTTGTTACCTTCGGACAAGATCGTAAAATGTCAAAAAGCAATTCAATAACCAATTGCGCGACGTTGCGATAGGAATCGGGCCGTTAGATCTTCACAGCGATCTTGGTAGCCAGCACCCCGAGATCACCAAACTACCACAAGGATGATCATTCGAGGAAGTGCGGCAACTTATTGCGCCCGGCGGGTTTCTCATCCGAAAAGGCACCCACACCAATCGCTTTGCACCGTCATGGGTCACCTGCGCCCGATTGAAAGCCTCCACTCTCGTCGTGTATCGTATAGCTTTCGTTTTTCGGGCATTCCTTTTTACAATGATACTCAATGTTAAGGGCCTTGCTGCTCGGCGTACCCTGATCTCGAGCGAGAGGACCCTCAACTGTCGATGCTTGTCTCGCCAGCATGTCTAATCCCTTCACGACTGAAGCATGGACCGAATACGCAATTGGTATTGTCGTTATAATACTTCGAATTACAGCGCGCTGCTGGCAGATCCAACTACGTTGGGACGGAGATGATTACTTCGCCGTACTCTGCGCCTTCTTCTTCACCGCTGAACTTGTCATGCTGGAGCTCATCGGCCAGAATGGCTCCATCACTGGAATGAGTAACGAACTCGCGTTGCAACTTACACCTGAGGAAAGCCAACGTGTTACTGTGGGTAGTAAATACCTTCTCGCAGGGTGGATACTATATACAACCCTGATATGGTGCTGTACGTAAATGCTTTGGTAACGGAGCACTCGAGGCCATGTGGCCATACTAATAGGCTGTTACCACAGTAAAAGCTTGTATGCTGTTCTTTTACAGGAGGCTCACGTATGTATACTTGACAAATTTAGATTGATCCCCGCTGATAGCAATAGGCTCAATCTCCAGCAACATAATCTCGTCAAGATTACTGGGGCAGTATGCCTTGTAGCTTACATCGCTACTATCATCGTGTTCCTCACACACTGTCACCCTATCTATCGACTCTGGCAAATATATCCATATCCAGGTGATGACTGCGCGCTCAACATATCCAAATATTTGGCGTTGGTCGTTACAAATGTAACGTGGGTAGCCCTAGAAATGAGCCTGTCCACTTCTGTACCATACTTACAATCATCCAGCACCGATCTCATGATCTTGTATATCCCGCTACCTCTACTCTGGAACGTCCGACTACCATTAAGAAGGAAGCTTCTGTACGGAGTCTGGTTATGCACCGGTGTTTTCATGATGACAGCAACATTGCTCCGCTGCATCCTGTGCCTTCAAGACGTTTCCCAGATCAACGTTGGCACCATTTGGTCAATCCGCGAAACAGTGAGCCTTTCAAATTTTAAGGCCACTAGGACCTTGCTAATGTTTGCCATAGTTTGTCGGAATCTTAGCTGTCAACGCACCTATCCTCAAGCCCTTTCTCAGTAAAGCCAGGAAAGCTATGTCATCGATCAAGCCATCAAACGACAATTCGGGCCAGAATTTGCCAGACAGCCTTCGTTTGTCGCATGTTGAGAGGAAGGGCAAAAGGAGGACTGTGCATGAGATCGACAACATAGACATGAGCATGAATGGAAGCGAAGAGCACATTGTGAGACAAGGAACAGACGAAGAAAGAGCGAGCAGTGATGTCAATTCGAGAGATGAGGGTGATGCGGTTTAAACTCGGCATTGCGCGCAAAGCCTGATCTAGCGCAATGAGTCATGAGCCCGTCAGTAGAAGCTGACGCATGGTATAGGTACAGCGGCGACGCTGATCAGGCTGCTGCGGATCTGTGTCTGCCGTGGCACCAGTGTTGCCAGTAGAGTGGTCTATCATCAGATCATATCTACTGCAACATAACGCACCATGCGAGTGGTTCTGCCCTTATCGTCATCATCGGTGTAAGAACAGGTGCTGCATCAGCCGCAAGACTACTTTCCAGCGTCGGTCGGCAATGAAGCCCAATACAGTCGGGTGGTGAAAACCCAATAGCAGGCCAGTTCTAGTGTTGTGAAGCATGGAAGCAGAATCTAGGTCATGTCATGCAAATGCATGTACATGATAATAATACACTCGCATATACCCAATATGCTCTAGCTCAATTCTCATCCTCCAACAGCCTCCTCTCTTCTTCGATAACTTCAGCTTTCTTATCATCCTTCCCACTCGACCTCTGCAGACTGACCGCAATCGCCGCTCCGATGATAAGCACGGCTCCCACCAAGCTCTCAGCAGGCGGCGTAGTTCCCCAGATCACCTTCTCGACAACAAGCGCGAAGACAAGTTGCAGATACGTCAAGTTTGTTGCTCTTCCACCTTTCTCCCTCTGCAGGCCTTCCGTCAAGAGAAATTGCAACAGAAACCCGAAGAGCCCAATAATGGCGATCAATCCCCACTGACCGAGCGTTTTGGGCATGACGAAATGTAACGAAGGGTGAACCAGTATGAGCACGAACGAGGCGATCGTTGCGATGAGAGAAAAGTAATTCACCGAGATGAGCGAGTGGGCGCGCTTGCCGATCACTCGGATAGTTGCGTAGGCTGTCGAAGCACCAAGCGTGCCTAGAATCGCGATGAGGATTGCCAGAGCGCGTTGTTCGGCGGTAGTTGATGGTAACGGTGCATGCCCGTCCGAGTCATCGGCTATTGGCCTTGAGTGCGAAGCGGGAAATAGCCATGGTGGTCTCGCGACGAAGAGAACGCCGCAGAATGCGACGAAGCTGCAAAGCGCTTCTTTCCAGGTGAATGGCTCGCGTAACCATAGGAAGCACACAATGGCTGTCATGGTTGGGATTAGGAAAGTTATTACTGTCGCGTCGGAGAATTCAAGCCATGACAGAGAGTCTAGGCGGTATTGTTAGCTGTATTCCAGTTCACTATCGTGACCCACCCCTGCAGGTCACAATCTTATATAGCGTGAGCCGTGAAGAATTGCAGAGGGAGTTAAACTTACAATACAGTCCAAATAGACCGAAGAATCCTGCAGTACCTCTCAGTATGAGCAGCCCTTTGATGCCTTTCTGGCCGAAAGGAAAGTCAGGCACCGCATGGTACCAAGAGTAAATGGAGCAGATAATCGTCGTGCACAGCATGCGGATGAAGATGATTTGCAAAGCGTGAAACTCGATGGATGGGTCATTCGCGAGCAGTTTGGCTGCTGTGTTCATCTAGTGCTCATTTGTAAGTGGCATGGTCTGCGGCATGCAGTCAGTGCACACAAGAAATAAAACTTACGACAGAACCGCATGTCTGTGCCAAGAAAACTAAGAATAAACCGAAATTCCGCCTGTAGAATGACTTCAGACTCTGCGATATTTTGCTCCATATTCCTGGCGGATTGGCTTCCTCGTCCGTATCTTGCGCAGAGCCTGAAGCTGCAGATGGCAGGCGTGGCAAGAAGTTTACCCTTGAGCGCCCTGCGGACGGCGGTGGGTCGGCTATGGTGCCATAAGACATCTCGAACCTTTTGTCGAAATGTTCGCGATTGCAAAGTTGAAGTGGAAGGGCAGAAGCCGTAGCAATGCGGAGCAAAAACCCATGGTCCGGTGACCCACTAGTGGGTCTCTCATTCGGCGGTAGCCCGTGTCTAGCCTTGCTTACTACAGCTAGAATCTTCTCACGCATGCCACAAGACTGCGAATGTAAGACCGACCACAATATTGCCGACACGTTTTTAAGATTTTGAGAAGCAAGTGCAGTTGCAAGTAAATGTATGAATAGAAATGAAGACACTTAGTGTTTCCAATATATGTACAAGAAAACCAACTCTCACGTACTACCGAACCTAGCCCGCATCTTTCTACAAGATGTTGGCCTAGGAAAGGTAAGCTGCATCAACCCAGCTCTTGTAGTCGCTGCCCAGAACAGTGGAAGGGCTAACGGCAGCCGAGAGCTTCTTTGAGAAGGACGCCCTGGTACCCTTGGATCCATCACCGGTGTTTGCGTACTCGGCATATGTGACCTTGTCAGTCCTGGGGTCATCGGTATTCCAAACTTTCCATCCCGCGGCATTGATGACATTAGTCATGCTAGTCTTCTGGAACACAACACGAGAGAAATTCCTCCAAGGACGGCCGAGGTAGTAAGCACCCGCGCTCACCGTGTTACCAGGAGCAGCGGCGATCTTCGAGTTGTTGATGACATAGTATGAGGGATTGGAATCTGAATCGCGACCGTTGGCAGTAATGTAACCCACCGACGCTGTGAGAACGCCCAGAGAGCAACCATCAAACCATGCTATGGCCTTCTGGCCGAAGATGAAATCAGTCGCTCCTTCGATGTAGGATTTGGCATAGACCTGGCTACCCTGCTGGGCGAGGATGGTGTCTTGGTAACCCTTGAACTGGCATCCGTAGTAGCCTTGCTTATCAGCATAAGCACTAAGGGCGAGAGCTTGCGAGCCCTGTCCGCGTGTGTTGACCAGGTTGATGTTGTAGACCTTTAGGTTTGGTGTCCAGGCGCGGAGAGTAGCAGTTTCGTCGTTGTTGGGGGCGTCATCTTGACTTTTGCCCTGGGTGATGGTCACGGTGTTGCCGGTGTAACTGCTAGTGTCTGTCGTTTCGCCGTAAACCGTCAGAGCCGACTTGAGCGGCTTGATGTAGACTTGCTCCTTGTATGTGCCTGCAGAACCGGGAGCACCAAGTCAGTACATGTCTCACATGGAGTTGGTACAGCTAGAACTAACCCTTCGCGATGAAAATGCATTGTGCAGCCGTACTGGAAGCGCTCAAAGCATCAACGGCGGACTGAACAGTTTTGTACTTTCCGCTACCACCCACAGCCAGACATCCAGAAGGAGGACTTGTACGTCCAGCCCGAGGCGCCAGCGTCGTTGGAGCTGCGACAGCGGATGCCGCGAGCGTGAACACGAAAGCGATCGATGGGAGCATTGTGGACAAAGTAGGACAGTTGAAAATGAAAGTATAAGAGTGAGTGAATGTAGAACTTAGCCTGAAGGCGCGCAGTATGCATATACATATAATAACTTCAGCATGCCGGCTATGCAAACTATATTGGCGGACTCCCCGGGTCTGACCTAGACCTCCGAACAGCCGCTTAGTGAGCTACGGGGTCGTTTCCCCGCTATGAAAGCTGTCGAAACGGGCGAAGCAAGCCATCGGAAAATTGATGTATGCACCCCAGACGGTGAATCTCTCATCGCGCAACGACTGCGCATGTGCATTGCGCCGGTTGGTGGGAATCTTGTTGCCGTCCGTGCGTTGATTTGGGTTGATTGTAGCGTGTTACAGAGGGCTGACGGAGGCAGTATTGAGGTCCGAAGTGACGCCGCGTGCGCATCGCATTACTGATGGTGTTGAAGCTGACGCGTTGTTGGGCACGACGGACGCGCCTCCTTCTTGCAGGTCGAGGTTTGTGGGGAAGGATCCTGCGCAGGGCCGTGCGCTGATCACGTGAGCTGGTGTCGCGCTAAGAGGCCCGGGATCCACACGTTCCAAGCCCAGCAATTCATTCATTGTGCGACGCTGAGACCAATCTTCCGCAGACCGCGCTTTGACATCAGTTATTCACTTTGGGTGCTCTTGGTTATCAGTATCTGGTCATTCTTTCCCTCGCAATGGCTCCATCACACACAACTGGCAATAGCTGCCAAACAATCGACCTCACAGGTTCCTCACCAGAGCCGGAAGACATGCCCCAGCAACGACCACAACAGCGGCAACAGCCAAGGCCGCCCCAAAGACTAGTTCAAATGTACCTCAAGCCCGAGCCACGCCCCTACGGTATGGCAAATGTCGGGATGGAAGCTAGGCATCCGATGGCTTCCGCGCGAAACCCTGTAGGGCCACAGCAGGCGCGCCCTATCCACCCTGAGCATATCAAACAGATCATCGAGACAGCCGACCCGCGCGCTGTGCAAAAGGTGCTGCTCGACCTTTGCCAAATGTCACCGGCCTTTTCCGGCGCCCTCGTCCGTGGACTTGCGCCTCACTCTGCATCCGCCCAGAGCCTGATCAGCCAGCAACGGATGCAGTCGCATCAGCCCAAGGTCAAGATTCAAGATGAGGATGATAGCGACGAACTCTATGAGGCGGCGAAAAGAAACCTCGTGAAGCCTACAGTCCCGACCCCAAGTCACAACAGCTTGCCTGCACAATCCCGCGAGATCAGCGGAAGTCGAGCTACATCACGGCCTCATGGTTCTGAGTTCGCATCACGAGTGAAGCGGGAGCCACGTGAGCGCTCACAGTCAAGTTCAGACGGCGACATGCACCTTCCTGGAGCCTATCCACGCTCAACCACGTTACGCACGCCAGTCCGGAAACCCTCAGGCCAATCATCCTCTGTCAACCAAACTCCAAGGCTGTTGGCCAGAGACACGCCACGGTCAGCGAGTATCAACAAACAGCCTGCGCCTTTGATAAAGACCTGCACAGTGTGTCACGAACAGATAGTGGACGTGAATGCGCCCTGCGTTTCTCATTCTGGGAAGAGGTACAGGCCACCGGGCGGGTCAATAAAATGGGACTGCTGTCAGGCAGACATTGACGATCCCGGTTGCGAGTTCAACGGGCAACATACGACTGAAGAAGAGCTCGAAGAAGACGCGTTGGTACAAAGGAAACGACCAAGTGCGTCTCCGGTTCCAAGTCGTGCCACACAGAAGAGACCCAGAGCATTCTAGCGAAACTGCTAGGGGTTTGCCAGGCAGTTGGTCGCCCTTTGCTTACAGCGGGACGCAATAGATCCACGCAATGGGTCCTCTTCTGCGATCGTTCTTTTTGTTCTTCAGTTCCAGTCGTCTTCGGAAGCCACTTCGCACGTCATTAGTTCATTGCTAGAAGCATAGCGTAGGCGTTTCGTTACTAGGCAGCATCGATATGGCTGCGGAGATCTCAGGCAGCTGCATTACAAAGACTTGTGTCCGTTCTTGATGAGCATGTGCATTACTAAGCCTGCGTTGCCCTTCCTGATTTTCACGAATCTGGCCTCGAAAACTTCACCATTGTCTCTAGGGCCCCAAACTGTTCACCTTCCCATCATGGACAGCGATTACTCCCGTCGCTTCTCGTGTTCCGGTGCAGGTCTACCCTTCAGGAGACTGTGCCTCACCGTTGTTCTGAAACCCATGCACATCTCTTCCAATCCTTAATCTGATGCTTATGACGCGACGGCCACTATTTCTATTGAGTCACTGCATGCAAGAAACAAACCGACCAGGTCTGCAAATTACATCAAGATTAAAATATGCAAAGTAGGTAACCTAATCTTAATGTAGACTCTAGGGTGTTTATCTTTTTCCTAAGCCGACGTGGAGCGCTCAAGAGGCTGAGAGGATACTGCGAACTGATGGTCCTTTATGCCAATCGTTCATCCGTAGACACGTCTCCAATAGTCTTCGTTCTGAAATCGCTGTGAGCTAGACAACGACCCTTGGTATTCTGCAAGTGTTATCATTACAGGCGGGCAATTTGTCAGTGAATTAGCGGATGTTGCTTGACCGTTATCTCTACGATGCCTATTCTGACTCGTTCCTCACGCGTGACGTCATGCCAAGTGTCTTGCCTGCATTATCATCGACGCGCTAACCTCCATCTCTCCCACTTCTGCACCCGCCGTCAGGACGCGATAGACATGTAACGGACATACGCACTTTGCGTTCCAGAAAACACGATACCGAGCCGAAGATGCATGGGTATAAAGCTGGCAGGTTGCCTCATGAGTATTGCCCCACGAAGTCTGCGCGCCGCACATCATGAAGGCCGCGCTGTTCCTATCGCTTGCAGCTCTTGTCAAAGCGAGTACGGTTTTTCAACTCAAATCTACGTCGTATTATTCTCCAGATCTTACCGCAGCGACGCTTAGCTTTGGCGACCAGTCATGGGCCAACGTAGAGCCTTTGCCAATCACTTATCTGAGTTTTTCTGACCCTAATGTCACCGCGGGGCTACTGGAGTTCACGATATCCTCATTTCTATCGCACGACGATGTATACTCGGAATCTTTCCTCCATACACTAGTGCTTGGCGGTTCAAGCAGTCTTTCAGACAATGCACATGCATATCTTGGCTCTATCGGGTGCAGCATGATCTACACTGCGTTGGACGCCGGCGTAGCATCCGGCCCATATCTACTTCACCCATCAAAGGCTATCACCAGAGTCTATCGATTGTATTGGGATCACAACTTCGCTTTTGCGGAGTCGGTCACTGAAGGTCAGAATGGGACTTTCCTTCCTGTCACAGGTCTGGCGTTGACGGATGCCTACGGAGCTCTTAGTATCGCAGTGCCGTCACGATTATACTATCCAGCACCCACAGAAGATAAACCGTTATCGGGCAAACGCCTGGGCGTGAAGGATATCTACGACCTGAAGGGTATCCGTACGAGTGGTGGAAACAGAGGCTACCGCGACCTTGTGGATCCGGCTCCCGAGAGCGCGGCAGCTTTACAAAAGCTTATTGACATGGGTGCGGTGGTGATTGGAAAGACAAAGACTACCCAGTTTGCGCTTGGGGAACGACCAACAGCCGACTACGTGGATCAGCTGGCACCCTTCAACCCTAGAGGAGACGGCTATCAGCATCCCCAGGGTTCATCAGCCGGCTCTGGGGCTGGACTTGCATCGTACAACTGGATGGATATCGCAACTGCCTCCGATACTGGAGGCTCTGTTCGCTTACCGGCCATGGCAAACGGCCTGTTCGGCATGCGTATCACCAACGCCTCACTGCCACTCAAGGGAATCTTGCCCATCTCAGCAATATTTGATACGCCGGGCGTACTGGCTAGGTCGGCGAAGCTCCTCCAAGCAGTGCATAGGAAATGGTACCCAGCCAAGGAATACACATCCTACCCTAAGCGCATCATCTTGCCTGATCTGTTTTGGCCTACAGTCAACAGCACGAGTATGCTTATATTTGATTCGTTCATCTCACAGCTAGCTACTTTTCTTGACGCCAATTTGACAACGTTCAACGCCAACGCCAGTTTCAATGCATACGCGAACATCTCTGAAGGCATAGCATCCTATCTCGGCTCTACATACTCCAACATTACCAACGTGGATCAGTACCGCGACCTTGGTCTACCTTTTAGGGAGCAGTATATTGCCAAGTTTGGCAAAGCGCCCTACTGGAACCCGCAAACACGAGCGCGATGGAATCGGGCCGCAACTTTGCCGACCTCTAGCTATACCACTGCTATCGAGCGCACGCACACATTCCAGACATGGTTTCGAGAGACGTTGACGCCATCATGCGAGTCAACGTTGGTGCTGTATCCTATGGGTGCCGGTACGGAAGACTACCGCGATATCTATACAGCCGCTCCAGGTGGTATATTTGCTGCTGGACTACCCGGCAACCAGATGTCAGTTCTGGCTGCGCTACCCGACTACACAATACCGATTGGCGCAAGGTAAGCTTGACTGTACGAAGTGCATATAAGACATATACTGACTTCGTACCTCTACCATTGCAGGGCGTATGTCAGCAGGGTTACTGAGAGAAACGAAACGCTCCCCGTTACCATTGGTATGGTAGCTGCGGCAGGTTGCGACCACATGCTCATGGATTTGGTTGCTGAACTTGCCAAAGTTGGAATAATTACCGAAAGTGTCAAAACCGGGTCTAGCATGTACTAGGGAAAGCAGAAATATACCCATGGGGCTTAATACACCGAGAACCCGAAGTACGTGCCCGTACGAGCTGCGCATTCAACAATTCCACATCACAAGACCTGCACTCATTGGTTTTGCTGTGTGCCATGCTTCCCTACCGTCCGAACACATCCCCGCTGTGATTGGCGGACTATCTTTTAGGTACCCTGTCGATCACAACGTCTGGGGTAAATGAAGAGAGTAATCCAAGGTGTCATTCACCAGCAGCGCGCTACGGACTAGCTAGCTGATCTCGCCGCCTCTGCGCAT